GAGAGAGAGAGAGAGAGAGAGAGAGAGAGAGAGAGAGAGAGAGAGAGAGAGAGCAGCAAGGGGGGGGGAAGACTTGCGACATGCGATTTGGTTTGTTGCTGAAAACTGTCATCGGCAATTCTGAATTCATCATAAGCTACAGCAATTCCGTTCTTCTGTCGATGGCAAACGACTTTCACATGGCGCGCTTTAGTCTCCATTCTTTACGCAGGATTTGATGATAAATTTGAAATTTGCAGAACACCAGATGGACAATTGTTTCTCTATACATGCTTTAAATTGCGTTGTATGGTTGCTTATTTGCTCTGTAATTTGGGCGAGATGCAACTTACATTGCTTGAATAGCAGTTCGTTGCGTTCGTTTGTGCAGGCATCACCCTCACCAACTGCACAAGCGGGGGCCAAGCTAGCCTTTTTCGATAGAAGTTGGACAGGTCCTCTCTCTCTCTTTTTATTTTAAATATATTTTTAACATTTGGAGAGCGGGGGAGGGAGTCTCTCCAACCACCCAAATCTACCACTGTGACAGGACTTGCTGAGAGCATGGACCTTGCACTTCTGCTCAACATTTCTGCATGTATCTGGACTCTGGCGTGGATATGGACCAGATACGTTTGGACTGATGCAACATTTGAACGTATCGGAACCATTAGCAGGTAGTACATATATTCTCAGAATGTTTGCAGTGGAGTGAGACCCCATGAATGAAGCACGTCCTTCACTGACAGGGGCCTCTTTCCAGGACTTGTGGAATGTGGAACTTTGCCAAATTGCCAGTGTATCCTTCTGCCTTGTACGTCCAGATACACTCAGCACGTTTAAATGTGCCAAGTGGGGAGTGTATCTCGCCTAAGTTATGCTATATCAAGATGCTTTTTTTTTCCTTTTTTTCAAAAAAGGTCCAGGGTTTAGTAGAGGGTAGTGGCCAGGGCTCAGGAGGTGCCCCTACTGTAGTACTCATCCATTGGGAGGTCAGAGGGATTGCGAGGACCCATCCAATGGGGAGTCACCTCAGGAGGACCCATCATTGTACCATGACCTATGCGCTAATGCTCAGATTGCAAGTCGTGATCTACATCAATATACGTTTTTTGTTTTAATGTTGTTGTAGAGGGTGGATGCTATCCCCTCACTGGTTGAGTACGAAGACAGATACATCAAGATACTTTCACCATAGTGTTTCTTTTTTTTTTTTTTTTTTGGTTTCCCTCCAAAATGCTATCCATAGGGAATTTCACTTTTAGAGAATGCCAGTGGTGGAACAACAAGGGTCTGAGAGAGGAGCTGCTGCATGTGTGCTGTTTACGGTACGCACAGGTTGCTATCTGTCCGAAAAAAAAAGTGCCTCGCTCCACTACACAACTTTCTTAGCGTATTCGGAGCTGCACATTGTGCCGGTGCACTCAAAATCACAGATCAGTCCGAATGCATTGGGCCTTCAACACTGTCCAGATACATTTAGAATGTTGCACTCAAAAATTATGTCGCATCAATCCAAATGTATCGGGCCTAGGACACTGTCCAGGTACATGTAGAATGTTCTGTAGCGGAGGGAGACCCCAGTTTACTCCCTCACTATACCAGAATGTATTATCAGGGAGGAGCAACTCCCCCTGATGACAACGGCTCCACTACAGAACATTGTAAGTGTATCTGGACTGAGATCTCGTCCAGATACGTTGGGGCCGAATCTGTGCCATTTTGAATGTATCTAGATGATTATCCAATCATTGACTGAATCCGGTCACAGCGATGACCAGATTAAGGAATAATTGTGTTTGAGGGAGTATGCTTTAAGGTCCAGGCGGTCACAGTTGCCAACGAGGGTGGAAACCAGAACGATGGTGGCTGGAGCTCGAGCGACGTGGCACAACTCTGTAGTCTAACCAGTTGGGGGTGTGAGGCCTGGTAGAGAGATCTGGTTTGCTTTGGACCTGGCTGTGTTGGCAGAGGTTTGAGCTTGGTTTCAAGGGGTATTCATCCGTTTTCATTAACCTCGGTGGTTCTGCAGAGATTTGTTCTGGTAGGCCAGTACTTGATTTCGAATTTTCCTGAGTTTCT